AGACTCCTTTCAGTGTGAACCTGTTCATAATTTTAAATGAGGCACAATTGTTCATAGTAGATATTGGGTATAACAGAAAAGACCAAGATCTTACCTCTATATTTCACTTATATACACTTGTATGTTCATATCATGATCCCCAAATCAACCATGTACAGAGTTTTTAACTTTTTATGTTTGAAGCAAAAATTTTTCATTTCCCTTAATAATTTCATAAACTTTATACCTGAAAACAGATAATATTTTAATTCTTACAGTGTCACAAAAATGGAGAAACACTTCACAAAATGAGGCTATGGTTAATCTAAAATAGTGAAAATCTGAATTGTAAATATTTTTTATCCTGAGGCTCATAAAATAACTAACAGCATTGGCAAATAGAGTACTAAATATCTTCTTTATAAATAAATGGCTGTCTTCAACAAAATTGAGCACTGAATAAAAACACTGAAGAAACTAGGGATAGAAGGAACTTACCTCAACATCATAAAGTTTATACATGACTAACTCAAAGCCAACGTCATTCTGAATTGAGGAAAAACTGAAAGCATTTCATCTAAAATCAGGAGCAAGACAAAGATATCCATTCTCACCACTCCTTTTCAATATAGTTCTTGAACTTTTAGCTCTCGGAGCAATTGGACAAGAGAAGGAAATTAAAGGGATACAAATAGGACAAGAAGTCATATTATCACTGTTTGCTGATGACATGATCCTATACTTAGAAGATCAAAGAAATTCCACCAGAAGACTTCTGAAGCTGATCAATAAATTCAGCAAGGTAGCAGGATACAAAATCAACATACATAAATCAATAATTTTTCTATATCTCAATAACAAATCTATTGAGAAAGTTTTTTAAAAAAATTCCATTCACAATAACCTCAAAAACAAACCAAGCTTTAAAATAAACCTAACCAACAAGGTGAAACATCTCTATAATGAAAATTACAGAACACTAAAGAAATAAATTGAAGAACTCAGAAGATTGAAACACCTCCGATGTTCTTGGATACATAGAACTAATATTGGTCACATTACCAAAAACAATACATAGATTTCATGCAAAAAGATCAATGGCAGTCTTCACAGAACTAGAAAAAACAATTCTAAAATTCATATGGAATAGCCAAAGCTATTCCATATGAAATATAAAAGTGAAGCTGGTAGTATCACAATACCTGTTCTCAAATTATGCTACAGAGTTATAGTAACAAAATCAGATTGGTATTGGCATTAAAACAGATATGAAGATCAATGGAGTGGAATAGAAGACACAAAACTACATAGAGTTATTGGATCTTGACAAATGAGCTAAAAAATATATTGGAGAAAAGATAGCCTCGTTAAAAAAAAATTGTGGTAGAAAAACTGGTTATCCATATATAGAAGAATGAAACAGGATCCCTATCCTTACCTGCACAAAAAATCAACTCAAAAGTGGATCAAATACTTAGGAGTTAGACCAGAAACATTTCAACTGGTAGAAGAAAACATAGGGTCAACACTCTTTAGGTGCCAGTACTAACTTCCCACTAAGATTCCTAAAGCTCAAGAAATAAAACCAAGAATCAGTAAGGGGATAGCTTCAAATTAAAGAGCTTCTGCAAAAATAAAGGAAATAAGAACATGAAGAGAGAGCCTACAGAATAGGAGAAAATCTTTGACAGCTACTTTTCCAACAGCAGATTAATATTCAGAATATATAAAGAATTAAAAAAACAGGAAAATGAACTAAATAGATGTTTTTCAAAAGAATAAATGCAGCTGGGGTTGTGGCTCAGTGGTCGAGCACTGGCCTAGCATATGTGAGGCACTGGGTTTGATTCTCAGCACCGCATATAAATAAATAAAATAAAGGTCCATTGTCAACTAAAAAATATTTTTTAAAAAGAATAAATGCAAATGGCCAACAAATATATGGAAACATGTTCATTTTTCTTAGCAATCAGAGAAATGCAAATCAAAATCATATTGAGGCCACCACAGTGGCGTATGCCTGTAATCCCAGTGGCTTTGGAGGCTGAGGCAGGAGTATGCTAAATTCAAAGCCAGCCTCAGCAAGGCGAGACACTAAACAACTCAGTGAGACCCTGTCTCTAAATAAAATACAAAATAGAGCTGGGGATGTGGCTCAGTGCTCAAGTACCCCTGAGTTCAATCCTTGGTGCCCTCCCAAAATCAAAAATAACCATACTGAGAGATCTCCAGTTAGAATGACAGTTGTCCAGAATACAAATAATAATAAGTGCTGGTGAGGATGTGGGGGAAAAGGTACACTCAGGTGTTGCTGGTGGAACCGAAAATGAATACAAGTTTGGAAAGCAGTATGGTGATTTCTCAAAAGGCTAGGAATGAACCTACCCCATGACCCAGCTATCCCACTCATTATTTATCCAAAAAATTGTAATCAGCAATCAAAAATAGAAATACATGCATACCAATGTTTATAGCAGCACAGTTCTCATTAGCCAAGTTATGGAACTAGCTTAGATGCCCATCAATAGATGAATAGATACAGAAAATGGTGTATATACTGAAATTTTACTCAGTAATAAAGAATAAAATTGTGGGAGCTGAGATTGTGGCTTAGTGGCAGAGTGCTTGCCTAGCACGTGTGAGACACTGGGTTAGATCCTCAGCACAATCAATCAATCAATTTAAATAATGAAATTGTGTTATTTGCTCATAAATGGAGAACATTATGTTATGTGAAATAAGCTAGACTTAGAAAGTCAAGTGTGAAGTAGAAGCTCATGTAGAAGCTAGAGAGAAATAAGGAACTTTTAAAAAGGAAGATCTCATGAAAATAGAAGGGAAAATAGTGGGACAGAGTAAGGAGATCAAGGGGTGGAAGGAGGAATGGGAAAGAGGAAAGAAATGATATTGACCAAGTTATATGCATGTATGAATATATTATAATAAATTCCACTTGTACGTGTAGCTATAATGCACCAATTATAAAACAAATTAATAGATGGAAAACTAATAGAGTAGAGGAAGAGAATCAGGGAGGGAAGGGAGAGGTTAGTACCATGGGTTGAATGGAGCAAATTATGTTATATTCATTTATGAATATGTAAAAATGAACCCTAAAATTATGTAAAACTATAATGTAATAATCAAAAACAAAAAATGGCTGTTTAAAAACTCCTGTTTAAGTAAATAACTTGTGTTGTCTTCTTTAAACTATTAATTTTATAAGAAAAAATTCCCTTCCAAAAAATTGTGTTCTCAATGGCCCTTTACTAGTCAATCTGAATTAATGAGTTTATTGCATTCATCTTCTTAAATCAAAGTAAACAAGTATGGTTTCTACAATTGAGTTCTAAAGTCAAACCTTCATTTTTCTTCTTTCTTTCTTATGCAACTTTTAATTTCCTTTATGTTGTTCTTAGATTCTGTTTCCTGCTTGATACTGGATTAGTTTATGATTTCCAATACAGGGCAGGGATTCTGTCTTGTTCATTCTTCCATGCTTTTGATCTGTCTGTAATTTGTGATAACATTACTCAGTAAGTTGAATTTTTTTAGTGTCATTTATCATCTTGAAGACTCTCCTGAAGACTCCCCTGAAACATCAGATTATACAATCACCATTCATTATGAAACTCATTTAAATGAGAAAGGCATTTTTTTCTTCCCAAATGGCAACCTCTTCTATTTAGAATGTTACAATTGCCTAGCAATCTTGACTTAACATTCCATTTTATAATTCTTTATGGAATGTTTCCCTGCCTACTACATATTTCCTAATTGATAGCACAAAACATATTAAGGTAGAATTTGTCTTTAATTAATGATGGCACCTCAGTAGCTAAAAGAAGGAAACTGTAAGTATAATAAAAAGGAATTCTATTCAGTAAAAACTCTGCATAGTTACCAGGGTTTTAAGATATTTAAAGCACTGTGTACTTGCAAACATGAATTAATATAAAATTATAAACCAAGCGTTTTTTGTGATCTTCCTCTTTCCATCATTTTAATGGTCCTTCCTACATCTATTTTGTTTGGTTTGTTTCATACCTCAATTTCTTCTTTTATGTTTATTATTTTCTATGTTTTTATGTATTTTCTATTTTTCTTAGAGATTATTTATTTCTATGCTTTCATTTTGTCTCTATTTTTAAATTTTTATTTTTGCAGTGCTGGGGATCTCTTCTTCAAAAAGAAAGAACAATTATCCTTGCACATGCTAGGCTAGCTATCTTACTACTGAGCTGCCTCCCAGCTCCATTTTTATTGACATAAATGTTTATGGCTAGGAATTTTCCTCTATTCACTGTTTTTAATATATCTCTCAGATCTGATGTATAGTTTTTGTGCTATCATTTTTCAGAAATTCCTTAACTTCTGTTTATTTCCTTTGTTACACAGAATTGTTTAATAAAGAAGGTCTTTTAATTTTCAGATGGAAAGCCTTTTTTGGTCTTGGTGTTTCATTTTCAATTTACAGTTTTATTGCATTGTAAACAGAGGATATCATTTGTAACATTTCTACTTTATGGAATTTAATGATCTTTTACTTGTGTCCTAGAACATGGTTGATTTTTATGAATAAGTTCCGTGTGCAATTTAGATGAAAGCATATTCTTTATTATCAAAGTATAGTGTTCAGTATACTACTAAAAGCTATACTGTAGTGATTATTTCATCTAAATGTTATATACTTATTTTGGTCCACTTGGCCTGTCTTATGCTGATTACACTTTCTAGTTCTTACTGCATCTTCTGTTAAAGAAGTATTTATCTAAGAGATTGCTATGTTATCTGATACAGAAATAGAAATAGTATATCTTTATTGTGGGATGTGGCTTTCTTTTTTTTTTTTTTTTGTGGTGCTGAGGATTGAACCCAGGGCCTTATGTATGTGAAGCAAGCACTCTACCAACTGAGTTATATCTTATTACTGAATTTCAAGTATTAACAAAGTTTCTGTTCTGTGAACTTTTTATACTTAATTCCTTATTAACAAAGATTGAATCCTTGGTCTTTTGTAGACAAGAACTAAAAGAACCAAACAGGGAAGCATTCATATTTCAAGATCTTTAGGAAGAGGTAGGAATAGTTAACATGGAATCAAAAACGTGTGAACCAAATAATGAAGATCTTTTACCAAGTAGTGGCATCGCATCCAATGGAGGTATGTACCCTTTATAAAACAAAGTAGGAAACAAATTTAGGATTTATCTTCATAATATTCACTTAAGTTCCTACTTTTAGTATGTTTTGTTTTTAACTTCAGGGCACAGAGCATAATCATGAATGTATACTATATTGTTTATAATTCTACTTTATATGGAGAAAATAGCTTAGTCTTTCAAATGAGCATATCTGTTAACATATGATTGATTAATTACATTAAATTATCTTTTGCTTTAAAAATTGTTTCTGTGCTGAGACACTTCAACCTCATCACATTCCACCATGCTTTCCCTAATGCCTTCTCTTCCTCCTATGTTTCTTTGTCTACTCCTAAGTTAGAATTTTCCATTATTTTGGCTCCTCTTCTCTCACCTGCTCCCACATTGAATCAAGCACCAAGTTCTGCTCTTCATATTCTCAGAGATGTCTTTTGAATTAATTCCCTTTACTACTCACTGGTTTAGGTTCCCATCACCTCTGCTTCAAATTATTTTAATCAAAAGGTAGCAGTAAAACAGACACAGGCGGAATAAATAAATGGAATTTAATACAGGGAATTGTTTACATAGAGATGGAAAGGGAAACATTCCAGAGATTAGCAACATTACTAGAGGCTGTGTCACCTCTTGGGTAAGACGATGACAAAAGGAGCTATTACAAGAGCATAGAACCTAGAGCTGGAACCACAAGAGAGCTGTGGAGGGAGCTTGGAGGGAGGTAAGTCCTCCAGCAACTGCCAGAAACTCACCTGGGGCTGGGTGAGAAGGGAGCAAGACTTTGACCTCTCCCCTCCTCCTGCCTCTGTTCTGCCAGCACTTCCCATTGCAAGGCTACTGGGGAGGAAAAGGGAGAAAGAGAATGGATTCAGGAGCAATGGGGCAGATGACCTGCATAGTCCTGACTGCTTTCCTTTCTTTGTCTCTCACCTAATTCATTTTTTAGTATATCTAGAGTTTATTCTCAATTGCAGGAATGCTGTTTTGCTGACCAGCTTAACAACTTTTATTTCAGCACCCTTATTTTGTAAAACTATCCTTCTCGAAATGTACATACCATCCTAAAATGCCTTTGTCACCACATGCTATTGTACCCATTCTTCCTGTCCACCTTCACTGTCTAACCTCCCAGCATAACTGCATCTCTCACACTGATCATGGACACTGGCACTTGGCCATGGGTTGTCTCTCCTTCCTTAGGTATATCATTATCTTGTCATATCATGGTCCTCATGGGTGACCCATCCAAGATCTGAGACTCAGAGCTTCTTGACCTCTTCACTTTGTATCATCTTGTCCTTTAGTCTAACCACCCATTTCCTAAGTTTGGATCTTATTACCAAGAACTGTTGGACAGCTTCCTATCTTTCAGCCCTCTCACTCCCTCATTCCTTGAAAACTTCTATTTTTCTGCCTAATGAAGGTGTGGTTCTCAACCGTAGTCCGTATCGAAATCACTTTTTGAGATTTTAAACATTTAAATGGATTAGATTCATACTTGAAACTGATTGAATAGATCTAGAGGGACTTAGGCACCACTGCTGTTTTTTGTTGTTTTATAAAACTTTCTCTAGCGGTTCTGATTTACAGTGAAGATTGAGAATAGCTGCTGTAGATTCTGCCATTTTCCCTAAATTACCACTCTTCCTATAAAATCTTTCTTTTGTAGCATCATTTTATGAATCATTTGCCAGTACACTTGGCCCTTTATTCTTCTGTTGCTCTTACAGAAAAAACCCAAATCCTTATCAAACTGACTTGACTTCTCTATTTATGTACTAGGCTGCTGGAATATTTTCCTAGAGAAAGTACACAGAGAGATTTTCCACCAATTTCCAACATTTATGGTCTCCTATCTCAGCTGGGTCCCTATGCCACTGAGAAACATTTCTTTTTCTAAAATTAATTAAATTAATTAATTTGTTCTAATTTGTTATACATGACAGAAGAATGCATTTCAATTCATAGTATGCATATGGAGCACAATTTTTCATTTCTGTAGTTGTACACAAAGTAGAGGCATTCTATTTGTGTCTTCATACATGTACCTAGGGTAATGATGTCCATCTCCTTCTACTATCTCTCCTATACCCCTTCCCTCTCCTTTCCCCTCCCTCCTCTTTGCCCTATCCAAAGTTTCTCCATTCCTCCCATGCTCCCCCCACCCACCCCAATTATAGATCAGCATTCACTTATCAGAGAAAACATCCAGCCTTTGGTTTGGGCTATTGGCTTATTTCATTTAGCATAATATTCTCCAACTCCATCTGTTTACCTGCAAATGCCATGATATTATTCTCTTCTAATGCTGAGTAATATTCCGTTGTGTATGTATCCACAGTTTCTTTATCCTTTCATCTACTGAAGGGCATCTAGGTTGGTTCTACATTTTAGCTATTGTGAATTGTGCTGTTATCAACACTGATGTTGTTGCATCATTATAGTATGCTGTTTTTAAGTCCTTTGTGTATCAGCTAAGGAGTGGGATAGCTGGGTCAAATGGTGGTTCCCATTCCAAGTTTTCTAAGGAATCGTCATACTGCTTTCCAGATTGGTTGCACCAGTTTGGAGTCCCACCAGCAATGTAAGAGTGTGCCTTTTGTCCTACATCCTTGCCAACAATTATTGTTGCTTGTTTTCTTAATAACTGCCATTCTGACTGGAGTGAGATGAAATCTTAGAATAGTTTTGATTTGCATTTCTCTAATTGCTAGAGATGTTGAACATTTTTCATATATTTGTTGACCAATTATATATCTTCTTCTGAGAAGTGTTTGTTCACTTCCTTAGCTCATTTATTGATTGGGTTATCTGGTTTTTTGGCATTAAGTTTTTTGTGTTCCTTATATATCCTGGAGATTAGTGCTCTATCTGATGTGCATGTGGTAACAATTTGCTTCCATTCTGTAGGCTCTCTATTCACCTCACTGATTGTTTCTTTTTCTGAGAAGAAGCTTTCCAGTTGGAATCCATCCCATTTATTAACTCTTGATTTTATTTCCTGTGCTTTAGGAGTCTTGTTAAGGAAGTTGGGGCCTAATCCAACATGATGAAGATCTGAGCCTACTTTTTTTTCTATTAGGTACAGTGTCTCTGGTCTAATTCCTAAGTCCTTGATCCACTTTGAGTTGAGTTTTGTATGTGGTGAGAGATAGGGGCTTAATTTCATTTTGCTGCATATGGATTTCCAGTTTTCCCATCACCATTTTTTGAAGAGGCTATCTTTTCTCCAGTGCATGCTTTTGGCACCTTTGTCTTGCCGCAGTCTGGCTGGGCACAAATGCCGCAGTCTGGCTGGGCACACAATCATGAGCCACCACACAGCTTGTAGATTCAAACAGCAACTCTTTATTCCCGAACTCACACCAGCCTTCTACAATCACGTTCTGGGGAAATCCACGTTCTCTGCCCAAATCCACCTCCACTGGGCTTCTATCTCCAAAATATACTGTCTAAATCCCGTGAGAACTCAAGGGGAACTCAGGCAGCAGGATACGCCCTATTCCCAGCAGGAATAATCTTAAACCTTAAACCTGGAACCTAAACTGGGAACGCCCTAAACACGATTATCTTAAAACCGGGAACACCCTAATCTGCCTTGGTCCTTGAGCAAGGTCACCTACATTCAATGTCACTGCAACATGTCAGCAACATGGGGTACGCTGGCAAGGAAATTGTCATACCTACTTGGCTAATGGCTCCCAGCATTGTCTAATATAAGATAATTGTAGTTTTGTGAGTTAATCTCTGTGTCCTCTATTCTGTACCATTGGTCTACAAGTCTATTTTGGTGTCAGTACCATGCCATTTTTGTTACTATTGCTCTGTAGTAAAGTTTAAGGTCTGGTATAGTGATGCCACCTGCTTCACTCTTTTTGCTAAGGATTGCTTTGGCTATTCTGGGTCTCTTATCTTTCCAGATAAATTTCATGATTGCTTTTTTTATGAGGAATGTCTTTTGATTGGGATTGCAGAGAAACATTTCTTATGATCTTAGTTACATCTGTTTTCAATTTTCTATAATATTTATTTCGTAATTGGCCATTCCAGATGAAATCCAAATTCCTTGGTTTGACCACAGGTCCTTCATGGTTTGTCCCACGTTTTCATTCTCATGTCTGACCACTACTTTCCTTTCCCCTGGAATATCCCATCTGTCCCAAGCCTCCTGGCCTATAATTGTGGTGCCCCCCACTGCCTGAAATGTCCTCTCTCCTCTCCTATCCTCCAGATTTGTTAGTTCTTGCCCACAAATACGCAGAGTCCTTCAGATCAAGTATCATTGGATCGCCCTCCTCCTTGTAGTCTGTTCCTCCTTTGTGCTGTGTTCATCTTTTTTTAGAGCTCTTACTGTCTCTTTAGTATTTTTTCCATTAGGTCTCACTCCTTCAATAAGGGAAATCACCTAGCATAATATTTGCTGAAAAAGTTATTTGATGAAGTTAATTAATAAATTCTTTAATATTTAGGTTCTTCAAGCCCATTTTTTGTGTCATCAATTCGTGGTACAATAATTGAAAACACAGCTGCAACTGGGACTTTGACACAAATTCCTCTTTTCCCTAAATATGAAGTAGAACTTGATTCTCATAGAAAAATAGTTCCTTATCCTGGAAAGGAACACATTGAACGTGTTTTAGAAGAATATTCACATCAAGTCAAAGATTTGCAAAGAAGACTAAATGAAGTGAGTTGCATTTTTCTCTTCTAGTGCCTAACTATTTCAGGTACAGTAGGGAGGCATAGTGCCTTGGGAAAAACCTAAACTTCCTGGAAGAAAAAATTAGCCATGGATCTCTTGGTTAAATTTTTATTTGATCTGTGCTTTCTATTTTGGTATTAAAGTTTGTACTAATGAAAAGTGTACATATCTTTTTTGTTGTTGTTAATTTGTCACAATGCCTTGGTATCATGATTTAATTTTGAACACTTGAATGGCTCAATATGTTATAATTAATGACATTTATCTGTAATTATAATTAATGATTTGTTCAGGGCTGTTCTCCTTTCGTCATGATACCTGATTTCCTTTTACAAAATGATGATAGCAGGTACATTTTGAGATGTATATGTATACATGACACCTAAATAAAGTTTAGAAGTTATTTGCAAAAAATTTCAAATGAACACTACATAGACAGTTACATTTCAGGTTCTATAGTCTACAATCTAAAAGTCAAAATTTTTAACCACCATGTACATAGTTCTTTGTGATCTAACCTGTCCTCTGGCGCCTGTCCTCTACTTGTACCCACTATCCCAGCAGTATCAAGCCACTTGCTCATCCTAGATGTATCATGCTATTCTAGACCTCCTCCATGCTTTTTCCCAGACCATATCCTCTTTTCTACCTTGTCTGCCTGGCAAATTCTTATTAACCATCAAGACAGCTCCAGCATGTCCTTTTCTAAAGCCTTTTCTCTAGACAGCTTTGGATGTGTTGACCTCTGTACAGTTATTGCATTTTATGCCAATGTTATAATATTTAATATACTTTATTAATCTTATTAACACGTTGTTCCATGTCATCAGACTATATAAGCCCTTCTAGGGTAAAAAAAAACCCTGTATTTATTAAATGCTGACAATTATGTACCCCTGTGTTATATACAGAACATACAAAAATGAATAAGATAGGACTTATATTGAGTTTATAGTTTTGGAGGGAGCTGGTCAGGTAAACAAATAATGACAATACCTTATGATAAATAAGCTAATGAAGATATATAGAGACAAAGGAAGCACAGAGGTTCTAGTGAGGAAATGAAATGGTGTCTCTATTTTGTGTTCATCCCCTGGGAAACTATATAACACTTGGTTGGCTTTCAATAAATATGTGTTAAATCAGTAAATAAATTAACAGGGCTGTTTGTATCATGTACCTCTTTTAGAACAGACATGATGCTAGGTACTGGATATATAAAGATGGAAAAGACGTGATCACTTACATGTACACATTTATAGTCTTATGGCTGAGATAGTTAAAATAGAAAATGGTAACAGTGAGATCTGTCCTTCAATAATGGGTAAGCAGCGATGGTAAATCAATGGATACTTCACATTCTTTATCTTACTTGACTTTTCAGCATTGAACACAAGTAGGTGTTCTTTTCCTCCTTTATTTTTTTTTTCTTTTGGTACTGTGGATTGAACCTAGGACTTAGTGCATGCAAATAAGTACTCTACCACTGATCTATACTTTAGTCCAGGATTCTTTTACTCTTGAAGTACTTTTTAAAGTTTTTAATCTTTGTTTTTTGTGCTGGAGATTGAACCCAGAACCTTGTGCTTTGTAACCATATTTTAAATTTCTAAGACTTCTTTCCCATTCATTTTTTTGACATAGCATCATGCTCTTACATTGTGGTTGTAATATCTCTTTAATTTTTCTGCATATACAAGTTTTTGGAAGTGTTTTTCTGTTCCTTGCATTATATATCTTTGTTTCCTCTTTTTATGGATGTTTGCTTTTTTAAACTTGGTCTGTGCTTTTTATTTTAGAATCAGTGTTCAGTGGCCTTTTTTTCCTGTTCAGATGATTAGGCAATAAAAAAGCTGATGGACAATTCTCTAAGGCAGAGCTTGATGGCTTTGCTTTGGAATAATTAGCACCTAGTATAATAGCACCAGCTATTATACTAGGAGCCCACTCAGTGCCTGATTTTAGAAAGCTTGTGAATTTCTCTGTAGTTTGAACACAGGTAAATTTCTCTGTAGTTTATATTCAGGTGATGGTGAGTTGTGTTGTAGATGTTGGCCTTTGTGTTCTTTGTTTTAGGTTTTTTGTTTTTGTTTGTCTTTTTTTTTGGTGCTGGGGATTGAACCCAGGGCCTTGTACGTGCAAGGGAAGCACTCTACCAACTGATCTACATCTTCAGCCCTGGCTTTTGTGTTCTTGCTGGGGAAATTTCAGGCAAGACAGGAAATGTAGTAAAAGTACAGAGACGTTTATTAGGAAAGAAGGTACTTTCAAGAGGGAGGGAGAGTGGGTTGGTAGTCTCTAAGAGAAAAGAATGATCACATATCCCCTTTGTTCTCTAGTTTTATTGGGGGGGGGGTCTTAGAGAAGTTTCTAGAGATTTCTGCCCAGCTACCACCTTCCAACTTTTGAATGACTGTAGAATTGTAATAGATTTTAAGTCCTTAGACTTACCCACAGTTATCCAAACAAAAACCATGGAGGAAGTTTTATCATTTTAATGAGATTAAAATCATATGGTAAAGATCGAAAGACAACTCTTGATAAGGATCATAAATGTACTTCCTTCTGGGTAACTTGTGTTCTCATCAGCAGGGAGGAATCTTAGAATCAAGATTGAGAAATATAGCTCTTCAGGTAACCAGGTGTTTGTTGAGGAATACAATCTATCCTGTTGACTTAAGCCAGAGTAGGGCCAGAGTGGCTTTAGGTAAATTGCTTTTCAAGAGAAAATGTGAGCAATATCTAAGCTTTCTAGATGTCCTGAGGTGATGCTATCATAAAAAGTAGAGCTAATAATTAGCCAACTTGTATATATATATTTTTAATCATTGATAGAAAAGATGCATCTTGAACATGGAATTGTTTTACCTCTGGGCAGTATCAGAACTTGTTCATTTGTCTGGCAACAGAGGGCCAATCAGAAGCACACAGTGAAAGATGGGAGCAGGCGCTCAAGAATTTATGTTTTGATGTGAGCCATTGGTTATGTGCATCTTCTGGCTATATGATAGGAATACTTGAATTCACTGGGAACATGCATTCTTGCTAATATTTTAGAAGTAGAAATCTGATAATGAATCCTCTTAGAAACATGCTTGATGTATTCTGAGGTGTTTTTTTTTTTTGTTTTTGTTTTTGTTTTTTTTTTTGTCTCATTTTAAATAGAGCATTAAAGGAATGCATTTTCTGTCTAGAGACCTGTTGCCATTTTTGTCTTTAGGGAAATTTTTGTCCCCAAAAAGGACTACAATTTTTTTCTAACAGATTGTGTTAATGTAGTGTATTCTTGGTTATCAAAAATATTCATGTAGCTTTGGGATTTTGAATTGGTGACTCTTCATGATGTGTGGGAAAGCACTATATACTATGATCTCAATCATACAAATGGAATGTTGTATACATACATGTACAACCCGGAGGGACAGGTCCAGCTAAGCTGCTTGTGACTGACTGGATGAGTTGGTTCTTTGCTTTTGTTGTTTTCTGTTTTTACAATGCACACATTGACTTTTAAAAAATAAAATCTGTTTTAAAAACCTGAGAAGAGAGAGAGAGAGAGAGAGAGAGAGAGAGAGAGAGAGAGAGAGAGAGAGAGAGAGAGAGAGAGAGAGAAGGAAGGTAGGTAGGTGTGTGTCATGTCAGAACATAGATAAAGCGTATAAAATTATCCCATTGACTCCATGTTCTCACCACTCATGTCTAACTGTTATTTAGCAAGTTGGAGGTAGGGTTTGACTTTTCTGTATATATAATTTCAACCAGTTCTCCTATTTTAAGGAACAAAACATTCCCATTTTCATTTTGAGCCAGAAGCCAGATTTATTTTAGATTTGTTGTAAAGTGGAGAATGGATGAAAAGAAGCCAAGCTTGAGACAGGAAAATTAGTTAAGATATTCTTATATAGAGAGAAATGATTAATTGGGCTCTGAATTACAATGGCAAGGGAAGGGCATACTATGCCATAATGATAAATTAATAATACATAGCTTTTTGAAAATTGTTAGCTATAAGGAACTGTGTGTTACTAATGGAATTTAATTTGGTTTTGTTTTTTTTACCCCCAGAGCAATGAATTGCATGAGAAACAAAAATTTTATTTAAGGCAGTCAGTCATTGATTTGCAAACAAAACTTCAAGAAATGCAAATGGAGAGAGACGCCATGGCTGACATCAGGTTGGGATATGTTACCTGAATTTTTGTGTAGTGCTGGGGATGGAACCCAGGGCCTTCTGCATGCTAGATGAGCATTCTACCACTTAACTACATCCCAGCCCTGATTCTGTTTTATCCTTTGGAATAAAACTACTTGTGTGAATATGATATTCAATCTCATATTCAATATTACTTCTTTTCTTTCATTTATTGCACAGACGAAGGGAGAGTCAGTCCCAGGAGGATTTAAGAAATCAGCTTCAAACTACAGTTCATGAACTTGAAGCTGCCAAAAGCCTTAAGGAGAACATGTTAAAAGACAGCAATGCACAAATAGAGCAGCTCAGGAAAATGATGCTGAGTCACGAAGGAGCGCTTCAAGAAATCCGATCAATCTTAGTTGACTTTGAAGAAGGCTCAGGCAAGAAAATCTATGAACACGACAGCATGTCTACTGTGCACTTCCGCAGCTTGGGCTCAGCTGTTAGTAAAATCCTAAGAGAATTAGACACAGAAATTTCTTATCTGAAAGGGAGGATATTTCCAGTAAGTGGTGAGAACACTCCTTCAACTTTATGTTAAAATGCATTAAGAGAATAGTATTAGGCATGTATCTTTAAGGTTTTTAAAAGTAAGCCAAGTTCTCATTCTTGTTCTCTGGAATAATAGTAGCTACTTCCATAGTGATCTCTCTTACTAGGAAATTAATTTGCTTTCTCTGTATTGCTTCATGAAAGTAGATCCAGATTAAAAGATCTAGTAAAGTACAGGATTAGATTTACCTAATTTTAGTATTATTTGTATTTGCATCTCACTAAAGCATATCTTTAGCTGAAAAATCTCTAGATTTACCAGTACCTAAATCAGTGTCTCTTTTTTTAAAAAAACCAGGTGGAGGATCAGCTTGAAACATTGAAATCTGAATCACAGAACAAAATAGAGTTACTTCTTCAGCAACATCAAGATAGGTAGGTTTCTGTCTGGTCAGAAAGTTATAGTGAAACTACATCATAGTTTTACAGTCTTGCCTGCAAATCCAAAATCTTAAAAGCTCTGAGACCCAGAAGGTTTTTGTAGGTTTGTGGCAAACTCATGTTAAAAGGTTTTTTGGCACTTGTTAAAGCTTCACAGAAGGCATTCAAGGCAGTTGCAATAGTGCTTTTGCTCTAGGTAAGAAAGACTAAGCGCAATTCACAAACAACCAGCACAAGAGGAGGCTTATAAACAAGAACCAAGGTAAGGGGGTCAGTGGATGGAAAATTGTTAAAGGGAGACACAAGTGTTGGGGCATTTTTGCTAAGGGCAGGCCAAGGTCTTAGATATTTAGGCTGAGGGATGAGGAACCTGATCAGTTATCTAGTAGGAGGATATTAAAAGTGGGCTGGGCCCCAAACAGGAATTTAGCTAACTAAATTAAGGTCAAGCCTACTTAAAAGATGACTTAGAAGAGCCTAATTACTGATGGATACCTTAGAAGAGCCATTCATCCAGTGGATGGATGGATAAAGAAACTGTGGCATAGAAAACAGTGGATTATTCAGCCATAAAGAAAAATACAGTTATGGCATTTGCAGGAAAATAGATGGAACTAGAGACCATCATGTTAAGTGAAATAAGTCAAACTTAGAAAGTTAAGGAGCATATGTTTTTTCTCATATGTGGAAGCTAGAGAATAAAAAAGAATATAGGTGGTGATGGATCTCCTAAAAGTCAAAGGGAGATCAGGAGAGGAAAGGGACCAAGAGGTTGTTGATAAGCAGGGAGGAAGGGGGGAAATGCTGGGGAGTAATATTGGCCAAATTATATCATTATATTATATGCTATATAAATATGTAACAACAAATCCCATCAATATGTACAACTATAATGCACCAATAAAAAATGTGGAAAAAATTGGAGAATGTTGAAAATTATTAATTTTTGAAGTAATAAGAGATCCTGATATAGTCATGCAGAGACAATTTAGGTATAGTTCTAACCATTACATTTAGTTAGTTTCTCAGTTATTGGGAGTGATGAGTAGAAGAAATAGAGGTGAAATCTTCTGTATCAAATAACAATCACCATATTCTTTCTAAAGGATTGAGCAGTTGATAAGTGAACATGAAGTTGAAATCACAGCACTTACTGAGAAAGCCAGCAGTGCTCGAAGCCAAGCCAATAGTATCCAGAGTCAACTGGAAATCATTCAGTATGTGTCTTCATGGTTAAAAATTAATAATCATTCATCTTCATTTTAAAAATAATATGCTAATTAATACCATGTTCTAAGATCTTTCAAAAATTGCTTACTAATTGACTCCACAAGTGAAACTTTTCTAACACTCAAATGAACAGAAAAATGACAATATAAAAGATAATATAATCTGACAATATAAGAAATATTATTGCTAGTATTTGGACCTGTTGGAATTGCTGTTCTTTTTTTAAAAAAATTTCAGTTTATTTGTTTACTTATTTTTGGATTACTGGGATTGAACCTGGGGCCTCATGCATGCTGGGTAAACACTCTATCATTGAGCTATATCCCTAGCTCTTGGCTGTATTAATATTACAACAATAGGGTAAAGCAAATTATACCACATATATATAATTATATAAATAAATAATTATAAATAAAAACTAAATAATTATAGTTTCATATGCATATATGTTTACTTTATAAATATATATGAATGTGTAAATATATGTAAATATATATGTATATGAAACTATAATTTGAGATAGTATGTTTTGTATGGATATTTTTAAACATACAAAAACAGGAAAAAATAGTGTAATAAACTCATATACTTATTCAGCTTTGGCAGTTTATAGTTTTGAGCTGAAACTTTTCTTTCTTTTTTTTTTTTTTTTTGTGCTAGGGATCAAACCAGGGCCTTATATATGCTAATTATGCACTTTAGCATCAATTTATGCCCTCAGTTCTGAGCTAAAGCATTTGAGAAGCAATTTTATATAACAAAAACAATTAGCCTAATAATGCCACATGAAATAATTAGTGGTAGTGTCTAAGTGACACCCTAGGTATCACACTAATTCTTAGTTTTTTCTTTGCACTTATATTCCTTCTTAACCCTTTGTAGAGAACAAGCAAGAAACCAAAATTCAATGTATATGCGTCAGCTCAGTGAACTGGAATCTACTGTTTCTCAGCTTCGTTCTGAATTAAGGGAAGCCAGAAGGATGTATGAAGACAAAGTAAGTTTAGGTTTTGCTTTTCTGCTTCTAGGGACAAAAATCAATAATATATTTTTAATAGTTTACTTGAAAATAGGGATCAGAATAATAACTTCAAACTAAAATCAATTTATGAACTGGAATAAGAAGGTGATAAATTATATGTTAAATTATAAACATTTTTATTTAAATTGCACACATTAATTCATTATTAGAAAAACATTTTTGCCTACTTCAAATAAGTTTCTAAAAAACAAATTCAGGGGCAGGGGATGTAGTTCAGTGGTAGAGTTGCTTGCCTACTATGCAGGAGGCTCCGAGTTTAATCCCCAGCACCATGAAAATAAATAGATAAATAATTTAAAAATAGGACCATCTGAATTATTCTTACAAGGTTTAGCTTTAGTAAATACTTCAAAACCAATTGGTCTACTACCCCTCACACTCAATATTTGGGGGGGCCTGCCTCCTTTCTTACTTTTAAACTCTTAATAATTATTGTTTGGTTAGCAAACTGAACTTTAAGGTTAATTAAACTAATTAAATAAAATAATGATTAATTAGGAAAATAAATCTTCATCTCTCAACATGTAATTTCTATTAAGCCCAGATATTAACTAATGTTTCATATTCTGCTTCTGTTCTTTTTTTTTAACATACCTAAAGGGAAGTTATTCAATATCGTTATCAACCACTTATTCAGAGCTTATATCCTTGTTAGTTTTGATAATTTTTAAGACAGTAAAATCTTAAAAAACAAGCAAAGAACTGCCATTCAGAAGAGCTCATGTTCTTTATTCCCTGTGAGAAGGGTTACCATCATTGATGTTTGACTGTAATGGTCATAGTTTATGCCTGCTATCCCAGTGACTTGTTTTGTAATTGCTTAGCTTTCATCTCCTAAGTGTCCCAGTTTGGAAAATAAATCTATCTTTGTAGTCCTGTGCATAAGAGATCCTGGTATAGTCATGCAAAGACAATTTAGGTATAGTTCTAACCATTACATTTAGTTAGTTTCTCAACACCTAAGCTATTGGGAGTGATGAGTAGAAGAAATAGAGTATAGGGAAGTCAGGCTGGGGTTGTGGCTCAACAGTAGAGCGCTTGCCTAGCAGCCTAGCATGTACAACACCCTAGGTTCAATCCTCAGTACCCACATAAAAATTTAAAAAAAAAAAAAAAGACAAAGGTATTTGTCCAACTACAACTAAAAAATAAATATTTAAAAAAGGGGAAGTCACCTGACTCCTTTTATGAAATGAAATCAGTTCTGTAGGTAACATTATGGGGGAAAAGGCTCTGCTTAGGAAGAATTGAATATCTGGCAGCACTAATCTTTCCAGACCATTGACCTTTGGGCAATTTTAATTTCCAATGGCACTCCCGCACTGACCACAGGAGGGGGCTGTTTTTCCTTATATCAAGCTTAAAAACTAGACCTTGACCTTTAACCTCTGTGGTAAAACTAAGACTGGAAAATTTAGCAGTAAAGAGTAACATGAAATTGTATAATCTCAGTAATAGATTTAGATTCTGTACAGATCTATCTTTCAGATGTTTTTAATCACTTCTCATAGGAAGAACTATAATTCATCTTATGACCCAATACAAACCCAAGCAAATGAACCAATTTTATAAAACAATATTTACCCTATTACATGTGAGTCAGTTTCTCTTCTCAGATGCTAATTTGAAGCTCATTAAAATGATCTAATTATTTACTGATGAGTTGAAGTTTGAATGAAACTGTCTCTTTTATTAACCTCCTTGCATAGCTCTTAGCCTAAATCCTTGTGGCAGGGTAATTTCAACTACTACCACTTCCAGGCTACCCTGAGAGACTAAGAAGCAAAAGCCCAGAGAGTAGCATTTATTCTTTCTGGCTTCTCTGAGGTCTCCTTTTTGTGTTCTAGTTTCTTTTCTCAGGACAAGCTTTTTGCCTGATGCTTGCTAGCAGGAATACTCACCCTAATCTGGATAGACTAAGTCTACACAGAGGGCATGACCTTACCATAGAGAGCATAGAACACAAGGATGGTCATGATTTCAGTACATCATGGTCTGGGAGGATACTGTATTGCTTGGGTCTAGTGGAGGTTGGCACATTGGCATAAGTAATAGCTAATAATCTGACAGTGAGAGAGGATGATTACATTACATCCAGTACAATAACTGATACTCAAGACTACACAAATCATTTTGAAAAGACTATTAATAATTTAATGACAGATTAAACCCTTTGAAAAGTCACAAAGTGCCAAATAGAGCTCGGCTTATGTTTTCTTACATAGTTTATAATGCTGTAGCTTTCCATTATAGCCTTGTTTGGAAAAATTAAACCATCATATATAAACCTCACCTATTATTTGCTAATTTACATATGATCTAACATATAGTATCATGTTGATAAACTGTAAATCAGGACATGGTGGTAAATTTTAACAAATACTAAAATATTCATCTTAGGAATAAAAAAAAAAAGTTCCTGAGTTTTTATAAGCCTTATCTTTGACATTGTAGAAGCATAAACTTCAGAGGAAGGACTGCAGACTTTTTACATGAACATTTGTTTTGGGGTCATATAGATAAAAACATTAGAATCATTGTCTTAGCTTGCTCTAATATAAACAATGGATCACCAAAAATTTTGACAGTCTTACATAGTAAACAGTTAATAGAATAGGAGGGCTTATTGGCTTAACTAGTTTTAACTGAGATCACTGAGATGTTGCTAATACAGCATAGTGGACTTTATAGAGCCAGTACCTGGTTAATAGTTAACTAGGCTGTATTAATAGTAACTCTCTTTCATTTTGTCAGGAAACACAAAGAGATAATTATCGGCCATGTTAATATAGAGTTAAATATACTTTGGCCTGAAATGGCATTAGTACATGGTATAGCTGAGCAAGGAAAATCAAGCAAGTTAACAAAATGGATTTCATTTTGGGGCCACGAAAATTCTATTATTATGAAATATTTTGTTATAATAAATACAGAATTGAAAAAGCAAATTCTTCTACTTTCTTTTATTTTCATATGCCTTGACTTTATATTGCCTAAACCTATGAAAACATTAAAATCTATTTTCTGCTGCTTTGGTGCATATTTTAGTATATACTATCCAAAGAACAATAAGAAAAAAAGGATCAAAGAAAATAGTATATAAAAGCTGTAATAATTAAAAGTTAAATTTGTGAAAAAAAACTATAGGGTGTTTTGATATTGTACATAATCCTACTTTATCAAAGGCAATGTTTTTTTGTGAGATCAGAGTCCTCCATTTAAAATAGAAAAGCATTGGTCTGGGGACATGGCTTAGTGGCAGAGCAAGTGTATAGCATATGCAAGGCCCTGGATTACATCCCCAGCACCCAAAATGATGATGATGATGATGATGATGATGATGTTGATAGTTTTAATTGTAAAAGAAAGAGTTAACTGTTTTTTAAAAAAATTGATGGTACAATAGATCTGAACAAAACTAGAATTCCTGAATTAAGAGAAAACTCATTCAGGAGGGTAATGTTTCTCCTCAGATTCACAAATTATTTTCATATTGTAAAAATAGAAATTATGTTACAAAGAAAATTTTAGATGTAGCTTTTGGAGCTGACATAAGTGTTTTGCTGTAATGCTGTTTTCTATTCTTCTCTTTCCATTTTAGGAGAACCTCCAGAATTCCCCTTTTCGAATTTGGACCAGTAGAAGCTGTCACTATTGGCTCTGTAGATTTGGCTTTACTCTTTAACTTTCGCTTTTTGACAACAAAAATATATCATGATCTTGATTCTAAGTTTATTTTTCTAATTTTGAAAGCAGTTGGGGCTGAATTTCATTCATACTTAAAAAGTGAAGATTTAGTAGCACTGGCTGGAGCAGGAAGATTCTATGCAAATGCTTTGCATAGTTCTGCCAATGCACCTTCATGCTGACCTGCATTATTCCTCATTATGCAGTGCCTGTGTTTTGGAGTTTTTTAGCACAGAAAAAAAATCAAAACAAAACAAAACAAAAACACCATTTAAATAATTTTACATGATTTGATATGATTGGTAATATCTCTAAAATCAATGCAAGATTAGAATGAAATTCCAATACCCATTGTCCAGTGATTCAAACCAAAAAGTGGATTCATAGATGGTAAAAGGGAAAACCAGTGCTGCTATCTAAAAAGAAAAGAAAAAAACAAAACAAAACAAATAAAACCAAACAACAACAACAACAGAAAAAAAAACCTTTACTGCATCTCAGATATCAGTATGTTTCTGGATATTCTAAAAGGCTTTTCTTTGTAGTATTTTTTACAGCTGTTTGTATCAGCTTAGCTGCTACTTCAATGGTTTTCCCTTTCACTGTCCATTTATCTTTTTAATTAATTCATCATATAAATATTTTTATTCTTAAAAAGTGAAAGGTAAAAGCAGAGCTATAGCAGCTGAGTCAATACTGACAGCTACAAAACTATGTTCCTGCAGGGGTCTGGAGGAACTTCTGATATTTAATGAAAAGATGGAAAGATAAGATATGGCCCATTCTTGCCTTCTTTCCCTCCCTTATTTCCTCCCTTCCTCTATTTTGGTCTCATAGATTTTATCATCAAGTTTGAAGTTATAAAATGGTCATGCAGCCTTTATTTAAAAAGTAAAAACAGACCAAAGAAAGTATATTTTAATTTGAACTTGTAAAGCACACATTGCCCAAGGACAGAAACAGTTTATGCCAAGCTAGGAGTAGAAAATATGTGCTTTAGTCACATGATTAACTCACATTAAAAGTATTGAATTTATAGCTCAAAATCAAGTGGAAAATAAAGAACTTCAAATGACATTATTATTATTGTGTGAAAAATATTAGAAACAGAATTGAAAGGAACATGAGATCATCTGGATTTTCTTTTCAAATTATATGTGAAAAAACTTGAGATAGAGAAGTTATGTGACAGAGGATGAGAACCTAAGGTGTTTTGACTCTTAATGTGATCTTAACTGCCTCTTGGATCATGTTTGTTTGTCCATATCTTGCCAGGGAAATATGGTAACTGTGTGATAGGACAAGTTTGTGGTTCTTCCCGAAAGTATTCTTTTTGTTATTATTTTGTGGTGTTGGGGATTGAACCCAGGGCCTCATACATGCTAGGCTAGTTTTTAACCACTGAGATATATCTCAGCCAAACCTAAATCTTAATATCTTTACCAACTATGTGCTGGTCTTCCATAATAATGATAAAATTGAAGAGATGATGTTAACTGGTATTATTCATTCATTGTTTTCTCAAGAAGTTACTTATGCTACCGAGTTATGCTTTTGAGACTAAATATGTGTGTGTGTGTATTGTGTATGTGTGTGTGTGTGAGTGAGAACTATATATGACTTCAAAGGATTATAAGAGTAAAAAGTAACTTTTTTGTGTGTGGTGCTGAGAATTGAACTCAGGGCTCTACCATTGAGCTACATCCCCAGCCCCAAGTACTTCTGTATGAGATTATTAGAGTCTAGGTACATATTTTAATCAATAGTATTTTATTTATACCTAATCTTGTGAAATACATTTTTATATATGATATATAATCAATGTAACATCAATTTAAAAATATATTCAATGTAATATTAAATCTGTATCCTGATCCCTGTAGGCTATAATACACTACAGGTAAATATAAAACTGTTTGATAGTCTTATTCTTAAGTCATATATATACATGTTAATATGTTTATAGAAATATACCATATGTATTCATGCTTATTATGTATCAAATAAATGGTTGCAGATATATATATATATATAAAATGTTTTTGAATGTATGTTCAGTTAATAAATGAAGATGTTAAATGCAAGTAAAAATAAACTAGAAAGTCATCCAAAAAAGTTTGTGTTGGTCATATGTTCTCTAGATAGAGAGGTTTAAGTATAGTTCATCATCTCAAACCGTTTCATTCTTGACATAGTAGATTTGGAAGTCTAATGAATAGATGCTTTAGAAGTAGGAGGAAATATAGAATGCTTATACAGATATGAAAGATTTCTCATCACTAGAAAGTAGATAATAATATTGTGGATATCATTGCTAGAGGTCAGGTGTGCTATGTAACACTAAGTATCAACATATTTTCATTGTTTTAATATTTTATTATCTAAGTTGTGGTATGTGTGGCTCATTTAAAATCCAAACCTTGAGTCTCCTGGTCAGATAATTGGCTTAGAGGATGCTGCATGCTACACCCAGAAGTTCAGAGCTTTAGAAACATTATTAACAGGTAGCCTCTGTCCTCCATTGAGGTAATACAAGCTGAGGACTTGAGGAAATAAAATGTTTGGTGCTCCTTTTGTTTGCTGCCAATGGTACAATGGAATAAATTTTTCTCTCTACTAAATAGATCAAACAGCTACCCTGTCTGTGAGAAAAAAATTATATGCATATTACAGTCTTTAAAATTGGTACTGTTAACCCCATTTTATAGTTGAAGAGAATGAGGATTAAAATGGTTAAATCAATTTTTCAACTGTAATAAAATATATATATTTGGCCAAACTTTCAAAATATAACTATATAATGATGACAATAGCTATAATATCTATCATTCATTCTTTTATTTTCAGTGTTTTTTAGTATTGAAACTGATATTCTAAAACAAAATGGCTCTTGTAAGTATAATACAGTTCATTTGTGTAGCAACCAGCATGCTATCAGTGCCACAGTAAGCTTCCTTAAATACCAAATTACAGAACATATCATGACAGAACATAAAACTCTGAGTAGTATGAATATGAGAGGAGTATTATAGATAATGTTCAAACCAAACAGTACCAAATATTTTGTCTTGTCTGATTTTCCTGATTAATTCTGCATAAATCCTAAACTTAGAAAACTTTGAAAAACTTATCACAATAAACTTATATTTGCCCTCAACATAATGCTGTTTGCTTTCCAAAGATCATGTTTGGTTTTTTTTTTTTTTTTTTTTTGACTCACTGGCATAGTCAGACTGATTTATGTTCTTCTTTTAGATAGAAGATCTGGAGAAGCAATTAGTCCTTGCCAACTCTGAGCTCACTGAAGCACGTACAGAACGGGATCAGTTCAGTCAGGAATCTGGAAATTTGGATGATCAACTTCAAAAGCTATTGGTAAGATTATGCTCTAAAATATGAATAAGATTGATTCTGGGAAATTTTTCATCAAAATATTTTTAAAAACTAGTTTTCTTTATAAAATCATAAATTTTACAAAATATTGTACACACATAATAGACTATCAGATCACATGTTGTATGTAAAACAATGTTCTGTGTACTTTAATTTTTTTTTAAGCAGAGCTGTTATTGTGTAGGGAAATAGGGATCTTCAAGCAGCCAGTCTTTTTCATTTATTTATTTTTAGTTGTCGATGGACTTTTATTAATTTATTTATATGTGGTGCTGAGAATTGAACCCAGTGCTTCACCCATGCCAGGCAAGCACTCCACCACTGAGCCACAGCCCCAACCCACCAGCCACGGTCTTTTAATTAGAACTGTATTCTACTAAGTTGAAGTAGTGTTAAGTGTTCATTTTAAAGCTAAATATCAAACACATGCAAATTTTGTCTGTAGAAATTTTGAATGGATGTTTAGAGGGGATTTTTAGAAAAAGAAACTGGCAGTAGGATTGTGATAGTAGTGAAGCAGTCTATCTGTTAGAGGTACTGCAGGTTGAACTATCCTAGGAAAGGAAATGTCCCAGCCTCCTTTGGGTGGTATCAGTGGTATAGCAGAATAAATTTCTCTCCCTGTCAAGCCCCATGCTAGGGCATCATGCTCTGCTGGAAAAGCCATCATCCTTTCTGCACTGACAGGGGTGATAGACTGTGGTAAAGGTGGAACTGACAAGTGTGTGCCAGGAACACTACACTGTGGGAGAATCCTGTTGGATGTTCCCTAATGCTCTCCTATCTTGGAGAATGCTGGGCGAGGTCACACATGCCTGTAATTCCAGTGACTCCTCAGCAGACAGAAGGATCACAAGTTGAGATCAGCCTCAACAACTTAGCAGTGCCCTCAGAAACTTGGCAAGACCCTCTCTACTCAGTCCCCCACCAAAATTGCATATGCCCCCTCCCTGTTTTTTCTTCCTCATCTTTGTATCTCCAAGCTGTTCTCAAATTCTAACTCAAATCTTTCTGAAACATTTCTATTTCTTTAGTGAAATTCTTTCTGATATATCTTATTTGTCCATAATGAAAATCACTTCCTTTTTGAGTGTTTATGTGTATGTCATCTTCCTTTTGGGTGATAAATCCTTTGAAGGTCAGTGTGCCTTTGTTCCTCATACTCAGTATAGATATTTGAAAACAGTAAACACTCACTGTATATTTTTCTGAGTGACTGAAAAGAGGTCATTCTGTTCACAGTCCAGATGCTGCTATTCTGCCATTTCCAAGTTACTGTTGTTATTCTTTAAGCTTTTGAGCATTTCTTTATTGCAGGAGCACACTTGATGTGAAACATCAAGTTTTGTTATAAAATTCAAGACTTAAACACAGGATGACTTTAAAAATCTATTGTAATTTCCTTTGCAGCATATATTATTTGAAGTCTAGTTCCTTGAAATTAATTTGTAATGCTATTTTTTTGATGTGTTTGTGTGGTGCTGGGGATTGAATCCAAGGCCACAAGCATGCTAAACACAGAGCTCTTCCAGTGAGCTACATGCACAGCCCTTGTAATGCCACATATTTTAGGTAAGCAAAACATTAACTTATTTTTTGAGAAAATAATCACACTTAATCAAGCTATTAAAAAGGAATCAGATTCCAAAGATCAAAGGTTTTTCAAATGATATAACTCCAAAAACAAAAGAGTTACATTTTAATTATTTAATACCAAGTAGAGGAGGGGAGAACATGCATTCTTATTTCTTTGGTTGTGTGTGTGTGTGTTTGTCTGTCTGTCTATGGTACTGGGGACTGAACCCAGAGCCTCCCACATACTGGGCAAATGTTCTGCCACTGAGCTATATCCCCAACACAGCACATTCCTCACTCTTTTAGGCAGACCTGCACAAGAGGGAGAAGGAGCTGAGTCTGGAGAAGGAGCAGAACAAACGGCTGTGGGACCGAGACACGGGCAATAGCATCACCATTGACCACCTGCGTCGTGAGCTGGATGACAGGAACATGGAGGTGCAGCGCCTGGAGGCCCTGCTCAAGGCCATGAAGAGCGAGTGTCAGGGCCAGATGGAGCGGCAGGTCAGAGCATTCAGGCTGTGCCCCACCAGGTGGCCTCTGCTGGGGGAAGAATGTATTTTATGTCTACTGGTGCCAGTTTTCTTCTTTTATAAATGGGCCTAAAATAGCTCTAAAATAAAACTATGGATTCTATGAGCAATTTTTAAAAACCTGGTATTTATTTCCATATTTTGACCACTTGTCAAACTAAATATGTTAGACTTTATCTCATTTGTATATTGGTGAAAAATTGAACTCCACTACAACTACCTTTTTATTTTCACCAAGAAATTGGTAACCTAATAATTACTTACTTCTGCTACAGAAAAGCTCAAGCTATCAGGAAATATTGAGGAATAGCAGGGTTGAAGGTTTACAACAGATTTTTTGTTGGTTTGTTTTTGCTTTTCCCTCAAAAGAGATTTTCCCTTCATCCTTGCCTCCCCTGATTGAGACTGATGGGTGTGCACCATTCCAATGCACTAGTAGCAAGATGTGGACTGCTCTCTTAACAGCTGTGTATTTTCAATTCAATGCCAGTTACTTCCTCAGAGACATAAAATGTACCTCACAATGTGTAAACTTCCCAAAGTGTGAAAGTAAACAAAGTGACCCATCTTGGCTTAGACCCCAGGGAAAATCATTTCCCTATTCTCTGGCTTAACTTCATCTAGAAGATAGAAGAACCAATTGGAAGTTATAATCTTACCTTTTCTATATAAGGACCAGAGAATGTGAATGTGTATTGGATAAAAGCCATTATTCCTTTTCCCCTCAGAGGTCAAATTAAGGGAAGGCTGGAGCAAAATAGAAAATAAGGGCATTTATCATCACTTACTACCCTTCCCCTCATCACCAGTGTTATCTTAATCTAGAGTAGTATTGAAAGCATCCTCAGAGGAATTTCCAACCCTCCTCTCCTGGAAATCCATTACTGAGAAGCATCCTTATTTGAGGCCTCTCCACCTTTGTCTAACACACTCGTAGGTCTTACACGTACTGTCAACCTGGGGTTCTGACAGAAAATTATTTGAATTAGTAAATCACACTTTATCCAAACCATGATTTCATACTTTTGAGTTAAATTGTTACAGATCCTGAGGTTGCTCATACCTATCCTCCCAAATCCAGGAAACTCTCTTTTCTTTAACAATCAGATGGCAGCGATTCAGGGGAAGAATGAGAGTCTAGAGAAAGTGTCCTCCTTGACTGCTCAGCTCGAATCCACCAAAGAGATGCTCCGCAAAGTAGTGGAAGAGCTGACGGCCAAGAAAATGACTCTGGAGAGCTCAGAGAGGACAGTGTCTGATCTGACAGCTTCCCTCCAAGAAAAAGAGCGAGCCATCGAGGCTACCAATGCAGAGATCACAAAGCTCCGCTCCCGGGTGGACTTGAAATTGCAGGAACTACAGCACTTGAAAAATGAAGGGGATCACCTCAGAAATGTGCAGACGGAATGTGAGGCTCTCAAGCTGCAGATGGCAGAAAAGGACAAGGTGATTGAAATTTTGCGCCAGCAGATTGAAAACATGACACAGTTGGTGGGCCAGCATGGACGGACTGCTGGTGCTATGCAAGTCGAAAAGGCTCAGCTGGAGAAAGAGATTAATGATAGGAGACTGGAACTACAGGAATTTAAGGTCTGTATGGTATTTTTTGTTGGCTTAACTTCTGAAATTTCTTCTTTCTTGTAAGGAAGTATAATCTAATTTATTGCAAAAGGGGTTCTTGTTGACTGTGGATTTTCTGAAATAGAAAGGATTTGTGTCTGTGTGTACTTTTTTGAGAAAAGTATCATACCTTTATGAGATTCCAAAGGAGTGTATATCCCCAAAATGGTTCAGAATCACAAGTACAAAAAAAAAATCAAATAATTCACCTACTCTAATGCCATAGTTTGATATTTTCTCCCTTTTTAGACAGGCCTAAGTTTGAATATCATCTACCAGTACATAATAATATAACATTGGACTGTTCATTGAATATCAGCATCTATGTCTATTAAACAAAACAAAACAAAACACAAAAACAAAAGAGATACCAACAACTTTATTTGGTTGCTATGAGTCTTACATCAGAAGATATCTATCAAGGGCTTAGCCTAGATCTTGGCCTATATAAGGTGTTCAGCAAGTATTAATTCCTTCTCCCATTCCATTTTATTTCTGACCTTTATAATATGTTACTTGTTCCTGTTCTAACCTGGATTATCACATTCTATATTGTGCTATATGTATGTGTGTATATGTGTGTTCAAAAAGAAACAATGGTCTCTTCCCTTACCAAACTATAGGCTTCCTAAAGCAGGGTGCACATCTTATTCATCTTTGTTTTTCCTTCCCTGTGTCACTTTGCCTTGCCTCCCAGAAGATCCTTAGTAAATATTTATCAAAATTTAAAATGGTTGGCTAAGTGTGGTGTTCCACACCTATAATTTCAGTGACTTAGGAGTCTGAGGAGAATTCAAAGTTGAAGGCCAGCCTTAGCAACTTAGCAAGGCTCTGACTTGGTAATAAGAGACAACAGAAACTTTAGGTGCTTCCTTTTCCTCATTCTAAAAATAGGGCCAGCAATAAATTATTATCTATATTAGGGAAATAATTAATTGCATAACAATTTAAACTTTTCTATTGTTTAAACTTATATTGATTATATTTTTTAAATAGCCAAACTCACCATGAAAGGGACACATACAGACTTATCATTTTTCTTTTTTTTTCTTCTTTTTTTTAACTGAACATATAGACTTTTTATTATCATTATTGCCTGAACAATACAGTATAACAACTGCTTACATAGCATTTACATTGTATTGGGTATTATAAGCCTTCTGGAGATTATTTGAAGTCTATAGAGAATGTGCTCAGATTTTATGCATTTTATATCAGAGATTTGATCATCCAAGGATTTTGGTATCTGAAGGTGGTCCCAAAACCAAAGCTTCATGATACTGAAGGATATCTGCACTTGGAAAAACCTCTATAAATACTCTGTCCCTTATGTTAATCATCTTTTCATCAATATGACAAGATTCCTGAGAAAAACAAAATTCCTGAGGAAAAAAAATATTTGGGGTCACTGTTTCAGAGATTACAGACCACGGTTTCTTGGTCCTGTTGCCTCCATGCCTGCTGCAAGGCAGTATATCATGGGAGTGTAGGTTGAGGAGATTCAGGCTTATCATTTTTCTTTTTTTTTTTTTTTTTTTTTTTTTTTTTTTTTTTTTTTTATTGGTTGCTTATCATTTTTCAATGGTAACCCTACAATGAAAACTTTAGGACAGACTTGCATGCAAGATAGAACATATTTAGGGAGAAGAATGATTGTCCCACCTTCTTGCCTAGGAAGATAGATTGTTAGTGTTAAAGTGACAAATAGAAGAATCCCACTGAGTCCGAAACTCTAAAGATGTATTCAATTTAATCTTTATGATGGAGGCACATATGATGATGAAACTGAGACACAGAAAGATTAAATAACTTGCTGGAAGGCAGCACTGCTTTGAGACTTGATCCTAGACAGTATATGAGTAGGTATTACTGCTCAGCCAGAATCCCCTGGAAACTTGTTAAAGGCAGGCTGCTGGGCCCCACTACAGAATTTCTGAATCATTAGGTCTAAAACTGGGCTTGAGCCTTAGTGTTTCTGAACAAGCTTCCAGAAGATGCTGATAACTGCTAGTCCAGAGAGCACACGTCAAAACCTATGTTAGCACCTCACTGGAGTGTGGATCACCATGAGCAGAATTGCTCATCAAAGTGTCAGAGAAGTGGGTACTTGAAATGGGAAGAGACTAGGCAGAGAGGAGGAAGCAAGACATTAAAGCAAAGAAAGTGAAGCTGAGTCTAGATTAGCCTGGAGGTGGTGTAGGAGCTGGTAAGGGTTTTAGGTGGAGAAGAGGGGTGACATGAAAATGGCAATGTTAGAAGTAGATTAGGTGACATCAGTACAGAGAAGTGGATTGAAGAGGTTGAAACCAATCTTCCCATATACCTAGCTAGAACAGCTGAGAGTTCCTAAGTGAAAAGAATTTCATGTAGATGCAAAAAAAAAAAAAAAAAAAAAAGTCAAACACTAAAGCTCTAATGCATCATCCATTTCCCTCCAAGGTCAGATAGGGAAAGGAAGGGGAATTATTGCCCTAAAAACTGCGGTTTCTCTCACCTCTTTAGGCTGGGTACTGTACACATGGACAACAGAGAAGCAGAGTGAGCCTTCTCCTAATTACCATGGCTGCTCAAAGCTGGACCCTTTCTTAGATGATGTAGAAAGAACCAAATGTTATCAGCTGGTTTAAGAGGTAGAAGAGGAGTGGCACATGCCTAGGATGTGTTGTGATGCCTCAGGGTGCCCCAGGGAGAGCCCTCCCCTCCCTCACCCTCTGAGGCCAGCAACATTTCATGTGTCATTTACCTGATTACTAGGCAGTGATCAGGTAGCCCTTTTAGGGCCTTCACTTTTCAAGCCCATTACAGGTGGGCGGTGAAATAAGCCAGGAGTACCCCAGTGATCCTTTTTGCATCAGCTAAATGCTTATAGTGTGTTTACTGTTCAAATACAGCATCAGCCTCCACATCTACACTATTATCACAGTTATATTACATTGGCTTGTATTGCATTATACTTAACTCATTATTTGAGTCAGTTTTGCATTGCTGTGACCAAAGTGCCTGACAAGAACAACTTAGAGGAGGAAAAGTTTCTTTAGGGCTCACAGTTTCAGAGGTTTCAGTCCATAGATGGCTGACTCCATTGCTCTGGGATCAAGATGAGGTAGCAAATCATGGGGGAAGCTCCCAGTAGAAGAAAGATGGTTAGTTTGTGGTGAGGTCAGGAAGCAGAGAGAGTGATAGAGGGGGAGAAACCATAGGAAGGACACACTATTCCAGAACATACCCCTAGTGACCCATCTCCTCCAGCCATGCCTCCCTTGCCCACCCAGTCTGTTCAAACTAAGATGGACTGATTATGTTACAATTCTCACAATCCAACCATTTTACTTCTGAACACTCCTGCATTAATAGGGGCTTTTGGAGGACACCTCATATTCAAACAATAACATCCATTAAATTCCAAGTCTTTAATTCTGTGTGAATATTTCAATGAAATTGACTCAGGTGAATTAAAATAGTTTGAAAATCATAATCTAGAGCTTATTTATGCTTTATATATTTTTCATATACATACAAATATGTGAAATATACATAATATATATCATTAATAATATATGTGAAATATATATTTTTTCACTCTACTAACTCACCTATTATTTTCTCAAAAGAATAAAACTCCAAACATAATATTTATTTCAAAAGTTACCTTAAGTGGCACATTTGTTGCTCAATTTAAGTTTTCATATGTGTCCCATATCTGGGACAATGGGACTTAACATATTAAGGCCATTAGGCCTTACCTGGAAGGACAATAATGATGACCCGATAAAGTAAGTTGTTTTTCAGATGGCATTTATTTACTTGGACTGATCTAGGCTAGTTCTGCCCACTAAATGCAAATCCTTACCTTGCCTCTAAGGCCAACTGGATCTTACCATGGTTCCCTATCTGACCTCATCTCCTACTTCACTCCTAGTTCACTCCCCTTCAGCCATACTGATGGCCTTGCTGGGGACTGGGGCTCTCCCCCAGCTTACCTATGTGACTTGCTGTCTTATCACTTTGAAGATTCTACTCAGGTGTCATGTCATCAGTGAGGTCTTTCCTGACCAAAGGTGTCAGGGTTCACAGGACCAACCCTAGGCTTGATAAATCTTTGAAAGGACTAATAGAACTCAGAGTTCTGCTAATGGCTAAGAGAATAAAGCAAAGTCTGCACCCTCTTGTCTTATTCTTCTTGTCACTTCTTTATCTGACATAGTAAATTTTTGTTTTCTATTAGTCTTTCCTCGCTAGAGGAGGATGTGAGGACAGAGTCATTGTTTGGTTGTTCCTGGTATCAAGGGCCAGGACTAGGTAAGGCAAGTTAGGTGCTTTAGTTGGAGGTCCACATCTGTGGCCTCACTCACTTTCCCTGAGTCCTGACCCCATTCCTAGGTCCTTAACACGTAAAAGGTCAACTTCCTCAAACTAGGTGCTCAATACGTAATTTTTTAAAGATTTTTTTTAAGTTGTAGATGGACATAATATCTTTATTGTATTTATTGTTTATGTGGTGCTGATGATTGAACCCAGTGCATCACACATGCAAGACAAGCGCTTAACCACTGAGCTACAACCCCAGCCCCTCAATACATAACTTTTTAACAAACTAGAGTAGAAATAATGAAAAATTGTGGCAAGTAAAACTGGAGAATTGACATTTAGTTTTAAAAGAACAGTGAAATATTCCTTTTTTCCCCACTTACTATTGATGCTTTATAATAAAATACAAACTTAGCATCCTAAAAATAATTCTAAAAATACTAAATGCAGACAGAATATTAATGATATTTCTTGTTAATATGCACATAATTTTTATTTATTTCTCTATCCTTCATATTTGTCATATATTTAGATTTTAAAAGATAAAAAAGATGCCAAGATCCGGGAGCTTGAAGCCAGAGTAAGTGACCTAGAACTGGAAAAGGTGAAGCTGGTGAATGCAGGCTCTGAGCGGCTCCGTGCAGTGAAGGACATCAAACAAGAGAGAGATCAATTATTAAATGAGGTGAAGATGAGTAGGAATGAATTGAACAGTCTTTCAGGTATGTCACTTGAGTTTGAATTCTACTAAAATATAGGGATGCTGTCAAGTCCAATGTGGACCCTAGCACAATTGTGAAAGAAGGGTGGCCATGTCACTTCTCAAATACAGAGGGTTGTGCTGCCCCATTGAACTTACTCATGGCTAAAATCCCCATAATTCTCCATGAAGAGCTTCCACAACTCATGCTAACTAACCGTTAACATTATTCAACCCTAAGAGTCCAGGAAATTCTGCACTGAGTTTCCAAGAGATGGGCAAGGTATCTAGATTCCAGACTTCCAGAAGGAAGGCAGGTGTTCTTCATAAATCATATTATTTGCTCAATTTGTTTTTATGGAGGTGGAAATGTTGAATTCTTTGAGTGACATAGCTCGATTACAGCTTTAATAATGAATGTGAATTGTAAATAGATTTATGCAGATTTATTGACAGGAAAAATCCAAGGCCTTACATTAAGCAATGAAACACTCCAGCTTCTGACTGTGTGATACAGTATCATGTACTACACACACACACACACACACACACACACACACACACACAGTCACTAACTTCTGAGCATTTATTATGCCAGACACTGTGATAGGTTCTTGAAACACTATGTTAGGTCCTAGAAACTCCCCACAGTGGAAATGTGCTGGATGCAAGGGTAGCACAAAGAATAGAGAATTGGCCTCCTAAAGGAAGTCACATCTATGTTGAGTTTGAAAGAGGGAAAGGAATTTGGTAGATGAAAGCGATAGAGGGACATGCCAAACAGAGAGAACATAAAAGCATGAAGGCATGAATAACATAATGTGATCTCAGAAGTATCAGTTGGAGCAAAAGTAGAAAGGAATGCAGGCTAAGAAATGAGGCAGAATAAATAGGTAGAGCTAGACAGCATGGAACCAGCAAAAGATATTAAGTTGGAGATTATTGTCATCAGATTTTACAAGACCACATCAGCAGGTAAATTCAGGAATGACATGGCTAATGAGATAGACCAGTCAGTTAAGGGGGACTTTTCAGTGATCTTGGTAAATATGATGAGGACTCCAACAAAGGAAGTGACAGTGAGAATGGAAGAAGATTAAAGAATAAAAATATTTTTGGTGGTTGGATCAACAGGACTTAGTGATTGGTGGTTGAGTCTACTCTTGGGTTTTTAGTTTATAGTATTGAGATAATAGCAACAACTGCAGGAGGAACCTATGGAAGGAGCAGGCTTGAGGACAAAAATCCTGAGATGTAGTCAGTGGGAGGCAAGTAGTTTGGGGTGGCACTGGGACCTCTCCACTGAGATGTCTGGATAGATGGAGATTGATCTTGTTCCCTTTGTAAATAAATCTATATAATACATTAATGCATAAATATAATAAATAGATGGATGAATGTGTGTTTTCTAATATAGAAAAAGATGAACTTGTACCAGGTGACTTAGTAGATATGAAAGAAAAAGATAAGACAGAACTGTGCCTGGTGACACACACCTATAATCTCAGTTACTCAGGAGGCTAAAGCAGGAAGATTGCAAATTCAAGGCCAGCCTCAGAAATTTAGCAAGACCCTGTCTCAAAATAAGAATTAAGAAGGGCTGGGGGTTTAGCTTAGTGGTAGAGCAGAGCACCCTGGGTTCAATCCCTAGTACCCCTCCATGTATCCCTTCCACCACACACAAAAGATAGAACTGGCAATATAACTTAATTGTAGAGTGCTTGCCTAGCATGTGCAAGGCCCTGGATTCAATCCCCAACACTGCAAAAATGAAAAAAGACACATGGTAGTCAATTTAAAAAAATACATGGGAGCCTCAGATTATTTATAGTTTCATGGAAATTGATCTACCTACAGATGGTGGTGAAATCTGTTAATGGTGTATATAGAAGGTTTTTAAGATAAAATAGATCTGAGCTAATTATAATCACAATGAATACTAACTGGATAAAGGAAGAGGATCCTCACTCAACGGATTAAAAAGGGTCTGATAGATCCTTTGTATGTATATATCATTTCTCTAACAAATAAAGATATAATTAAATAAATTTACTTCCAATCTCTAAAATTCTACGATCATTAATTGCAAATGAAATATCCTTCATATCAGTCTGATAGAAAAAAGTAAACAGTATTATTGATTATTGTATTATATAGAGGACTATGAAGTCTTGAAAAGGAATTTTCGAAACAAAAGTGAAGAAATGGAAACTACTACAAATAAACTGAAAATGCAGTTAAAATCTGCACAGTCTGAACTAGAACAAACAAGAAATACACTAAAGTCAATGGAAGGATCTGATGGTCATGGTATGTTCTACCAGATATTTTTCTTTTTCTTCTGTTTTTAATTTTATTAGTTTAGCTTTATTAAAACATCAACCCATATATATTGCCTACCATCTTTTCACGGTGCCAGATAGTTTGAGAAATATACAGCTATAGGTATTAATGATGGATATTATGGAGGAGTAGTTCTGCTTAATTTTTTAAAGCGGAATTTTTTGAGGGAAATTGCTGTGTGCTTAATGACCTCTAATGTATTTGAAATCACTAAAGTATCTGAATCTTTATTTTCCTGTGGTATTTCAATAAATCCTAACTAATTTGAATGTCTATAAATGTTGGCCAGTTATCTTTAAGAATATAAATACAAGTTACTGATCATTTCCCCTGACCTCTTGTTTTTCGCGTGTGTATTATCTACAAAAACTCTAGATCTGTGACTACTTTGCAGTTCTTTATTTCTTCTCTGTGATAACAATGGGAAGGAGTCCTGGCAATTGAACTACTTGCTGAGGGGTCCCTAGACCTGTTTACTTTTTTACCTTGCTGCCCATACTGGTCCTGATAAGTTATTATCTTAATGACATTAATGAGTATCTCATTGTCTTAATGAGACTAAGTGTTTTGTGTTCTTTCATGATGTTCATATCATTATTGGTATGAATTTATTAACCAGGTATAAGAACTAATATTTATCAAATTAAAGTATGCATTTTTCTTTTTGTCAATATTTTTTTTTTAGAGAGAGAGAATTTTAATATTTATTTTTTAGTTTTTCAGTGGACACAACATCTTTGTTTTTATGTGGTGCTGAGGATCGAACCCAGGCCGCATGCATGCCAGGCAAGCACGCTATCGCTTGAGCCACATCCCCAGCCCTTGTCAATATTTTTTAAGGTCAGAAGATTCATATGTGCTTTGGCAGCATATATGCTAAAATTGGAATGATACAGAGATTACTATATTCATGTCCAAATATGTCACACAAAATCTTAAGTGCTCCATATTTTGTGTAGTTCTTGGCAGTTTGGTTCTTTGCTAGTTAACACAGAAAAATGGTAAGATTTTCCAGAGGTTGTCAAAGAGGCCTCTTTGGGGTCTCTCACCCATAAGGCATCTCCAGTCATGTTACAGTTATTAAGTTACCTAGGTAATCTTTGTATTTGTTTTCAAATGCTTGTTTTAATTGATTAAAAACCATTCGAGAAAATTACGTTTGAAGGCCAACCATGATTCATTTAATCAGACCAGAATTCTTTGAAGTAGTGAACAAATAATGTTAAGACTTTTGATATATTAATAAATCAATTTACTGTGCCTTTATTAACCCTGTTTTTGACAGATTAGTGGTAAAAACATTATCTTGTTAATGAGAGGTCAAGGTTTTCATTCTTTCTGATTGCTTATTTTAAACAAATAGTACATTTTCTTTTTTCTTTTTAACCTTTAAGCTATAGCCAGACTTGATTCAGTGTCATTTCCAAACTTCTTTCCTCAGCTGACCTAAAAAAAGAAACATACATACACACACACACACACACACACACATACACATACACACACACAAACATACAAACATAGGGACTTCTGACTTTGAATTTCTAATAAGGATAAACTTCCTATATTTTTAATGTCCTACCATGTCTTAAATATTCTGTGGCTTGTACCCATCTAGAACATTTTCATTCTACCATGAGTTTTCCTAAAATAATCACATATATGTTTCTGGTGAACACTTGACTACTACTAGTTCCAATTGCATGACCATAACTCTGAGACTGAAAATTAAATGGTTTATGATATCACTGGAATCTTTAAAAAGATCATTAATAGTAGATGTCTTTTGTGGGTATTTTAAATGTTTCTATAAAAATCATTTTAGTAAAAAAACCAATAAACATTATTCTTTATATGACTCTTTTTATGTACCTGTTTCCTATATGTGTAAGTATGAGTTGGTTAGTATTATTGTTACCATTGGAAATGTGGCAAATTGAATTAATTCAAGTAGCAAAGAAACTGCAAAATATCTTCATATCTATTTTTCCCAGCTCAGCATCTCTGAGTAGTTGCTGAAAATTGTTATATCCCAATACTGTGAATCCTGAAGACCTTTTTCCATAATCTTTTCCTTGAAACTGCCCAGGTACCTCAGAGAATCTTACTTCTCACAGACTAAATTAGCAAGTTACAGTACAAATTATAGTGACCTCTCAACAATAGAATCTTTAAGGCACAGTTGCCTTTTTTTTTTTCAAGCTATGAAAGTGGCAATGGGAATGCAAAAGCAAATCACAGCCAAGAGAGGTCAGATAGATGCCCTTCAGAACAAGATCCAGTTTTTAGAAGAGGCCATGACAAATTCGAACAAGGTGAGTCCCTGTCCTTAGAATAGGGAAACCAACATGCTCACTCATTAATGTACTACAAGACAGAATGAGATAGCAGACATACTACATGCAATGAGGAAAAGAGAAAAGCTTATTTTTTACTTACAGAATAAAGGAAAAACTCCTCCTAAAGGAGCATTGAAACAGGATCTTGGAATATAGCTAGTGATTTATTTATTACCACCAACAACAACACTGTTATTATTATTACTTGTAGTAATGGGGCCTCACATGTTAGGCAAGTGCTCTACTACTGAGCTTCATCCTTGGCCCTTTTATTATTTTGAGATGGAGTCTTGCTAAGTTGCCCAGGCTGGCATTGAACTTGAGATCCTGCTGCCTCAGCCTCTTAAATTGCTGGGATTACAGGTGAGCACCACCACACCTGACTGTAGCCAGTGTTTTAAATGGCAGAAACAAGAAAAAGAACATTCTGGGTAGAGACAGGGATTAGTTATAAACAAAGTACAATCCGTTCTGTTATAATGTGACATAGGTGTTCCTAAAAACCACTGTACTATGCAAAATTGTGTAATAAAAACCACTGGATTAGGGAACAATGGAATTAAGAGCATACTAACAAATTTCATTTGTGAAACACTGAAAAACAGGAAAATAATAAAAACAAGTAGTACAGTTATACGCATGTTAAGTTTTTAAGAAATGCTACAGTTAAGTATGGCATTTTATCTTGAAAAGACCTGTAGTTTGCTTATGTGAGAGTACATGAAGAATTGTAGCTTGTACATTATTGTGAAGGGGTGGAAGAAGGTTTTCTATAACATCAGATATGGCTCATAACACAAAGTAAACTGAGGAGCTGGCAGATAGGTATTTAAGGAGGGCATGAGGCTTTTTGTGCATTCCTGTAGAGCTCTGTTTAGTTAGGTGCAGTTTTCTACTTTGACTTAGTGTTTCTTGTGACTGAAACTATGCTTAAACAAACATGAAATTTACATTGTGGGCTTAAATGTTCCCTTATATCAATCACTTTGGAGAAAATCTGAATTTTTAAAAGATTGCTTACAACAGAACTGACTATATGAAGGTAGGAAAGTAAATGGTATAAGTAGAAAATACAAGTGCAACTTAAGTAATTGCTGGTTTGTTACTCATGATGAGCGCTGGAACGCTTTAGAATGCAGTGAAACATTCACAAATATTCACATTCATCATATCATATTCATATTCATCATATGGATTTATTTCCTCTTTTTTCAGTTCTTTCTCATTTTCCCCCCTCATTTTCCAGTCTCATTTCTTTTTATCCTGAACTTCTTCTTTCCTCTTTCCCCTTCTCATTATTTACCTCTGGGAATCCAAAGCACTGCTCACCTTCCCTTTTGGTACTGAAGGCTTTAAGAGGGTACTGCCTGCTGTCACCAGGATACCTGCTCCTGCCTAAAGAAAGGTATTCATTAGAGCTCAATGACATCCCTCAAACAAATAGGAGAACACCTGTAAAATTAATCTTTCTTTCTGAAGCCTTTTCTGTCCATCCTAATCACCATAGGAAAAATCATTTGCATACAAAATGTGCATTGTAGTGACAACCACCTCCTACCTTACTTATATTAAACATTTTTCACATGAGAAAATATATTTTAAAATATAGACAATAAACTGATGTTTCGATTTTACCTTGAAAACTGTAAATATCTTTTTTCTGGGTTTGACTATCTGAGTGTGTGTTTTGGGAGGGCGAGGTGCTGAAGATTAAACCCAGGATTTCTCACATTCTAGGCCAATACTTTACCACTGAGCTACAAGCTTTTTATTTTTTATTTTGAGACAGGGCCTCACTATGTTGCCCAAGCTGTCCTCAAACTTGTGATCCTCCTGCCTCAGTCGCCTGGGCTCATAGGTGTGCACCACTGTACCTGGCCCCTCCATAGTGCTTTTTTTTTTTTTTGCTGGGGGAGGGGTGTACCTAGGATTGAACTCAGGGGCATTCAACCACTGAGCCACATCCCCAGCCCTATTTTGTATTTTTATTTGAGACAGGGTCTCACTGAATTGTTTAGTGCTTCAGTTTTGCTGAGGGTGGCTTTGAACTCGAGATCCTCCTGCCTTAGCCTCCAGAGCCACTGGGATTACAGGCATGCGTCACCATGCCTGACTCCATAGTGTTTTTTTAAAGGAGTAAACTAGTTATAATTAAATTTTATTTAATACCAATGACAGTATACCAGTAAGCTTATTTTTATCACTAGATTGACAAATTGAGGACAGGGACTTTGTGTCTCATTTGTTTTTATGTCAGAGTGTACAGTAGGCATTTGAGAAATGAATATTCAACCTTGAAATAAAATATAAACCAATAAAATTTTAAAACAAATGCATCCTCTTTAAATCTCTTCTTTTATGTTTAAAATAAATTTCAGTTTACCAGAACACACTATTTTTTGATCATTATTCCATATTTTGTAGATTTCATGAAAGATTTCTTAAGCCTAAAAAGAAATAATACGAATAATGACTAAAATAGAGAATATGTTATAGTACAGTTCTAATAGCTCCCAATTCCAACTCAGAAGCAATTAAATGATTTAAATAAACCTCATTCATTTCCATATATGAATACACTACTGTGAATCTCACCATCATGTACATACACAAGATTGGGATCCTAATTAAGTAAGATATATTCTAAGCTTGTATAAATATATCAAAAAAGTTTTTACTGTCATGTATAGCTAAAAAGAACAAATAAATATATACATCTAATTCAATCCTTTAATAAAATTTTAAAATTTTCATCTCCTTTCAACATCTACACCAGCAGATTATTTCTGTTATTTGTCTCCTCTATAATTGTAGGAGAAACATTTTTTAAAAGAAGAAAAGTGTAAACTCAGTCAGGAATTGAGCACAGTTGCAACAGAAAAAAACAAAATGGCTGGAGAGCTAGAAGTTCTGCGATCTCAGGAACGTCGTTTGAAAGAAAAAGTTGCTAATATGGAAGTTGCTCTTGATAAGGTAGTTACTAACTAAATATGTGAAAGCAATTGCCATCCAACTAGTTACTAACTTGAGAGAATTGTTCAGAATGAAAGTTCTATGTCAATAGGAACTGAATCCATCAACTTGTATCATATCTCCAGTACCTAGCACAAAATTAAAAAGCAATATTTTATAGAAGATGCTCTTCTAAGGTTTAAAAACATAATCATAATATGTTTTTGCCAAATTACCTTTTCCAGGCTAACACAGCCCTTGGAGCAGTTAGATATAAGATGTAAGATGATCCTGGCATCCATAGTGGCCTGAATAAGCAAAAATATCTCCATGAGCACATAACTTATCCCTAAAGAATGGTGTGACCATTGGGAAGAAAATAGCTTCTTTTTAATGTAAAGAAAGTAATGTTAATGTCTGGAACATTGTGGGGTCCGGAAAGTGTAGGTTAAAACCCAGGTTAAAGAACGAGAGGAACCAGTGATACTATGTTTAGCACTGAAATTTATCAGGGAGGATAAACCTGTTTTTTTGTCACCTAGAAACTCTGGAAGGCTAAGATTGTACCCAAACCAATCCTTGATCCTGAAGAAATTAGAGCCTTCATGGTCAGATAAAACAATCTGTGACCTCATCTATGCCATCTTTGTTTCTAAAATCATGTTATATTGATATAACAAATTTTAGTTGTGTTTATTTTTATTCTTTGCTAAGGCTGTTTGCTCATTCTATGCTTAGTTCATTCATTCTTTGAGTGTCCTTCACATACTAAATGCTGAACGTATGCTGAAGATACAAACGATAAAGATTTGGCCTCAGTTTACTGAATAAAACAGATGAATTAATATAATCATAATTTAGTACTAGGAGTGGTTCATTTCCTTGAAGAGATGGCAACCCTGCATTTAGAGGTTAATGAAACAAAAGTTTATAAAGAATGGCAGATAAGCCCTTTGTGGTTGCTTGATTATAGGCATCTTTGCAGTTTGCAGAATGTCAAGATATAATCCAGCATCAGGAACAAGAATCTGTGCGTCTAAAACTTCAACACACTTTGGATGTAAAGGTAAGGATTTCTTTAAATTATAAATAGCAGTTTAAGCAGAATTAAAACCTTTGTTTGATAATCTTTTAGATTTTCTTCATGTACTTTACATACACTTAAATATACTTTAAGCATTATTTGATACTAGCAATTATTAAAATCTGTGCAAACATCCTTATATATTATAGCCATAATTTTTATGTAGGATAACAAATGGAAACACCACATTTTATCCTAAGTTGATAGTAAGCAAGTAAAATACAAGTACCTGCCTGGGGAATACCTAAGGGAAGAGCCTTCCACACAGAGGCATGGAGCAAGTGCAGACTCAAAGAACTGGTGTTTGGCTTATTTGGGAAATAACAAAAGTGATGTAATCTACATGACCAAAATGTTTTTTAAGAACAGTATACTTTACACTGAAATATGTATCTGTTTTCAGAAGTATACTACAAGTTGCCAACATATTTTAAAGTCTTTTTCTTTTTCTTCTTTGTATGTACAGGGCGTGGTAGAGGATCCTGGGATAGAACCCAGGGCCTTGTACATGTAGACAAATGCTCTACCAGGGAGCTGCATCCTTAGCCTTTAAAGTCTTGATTCGGATTTCATCTGTGAAGATTAAAACAATGCATTTTGGTTTCACAATTCTTTAGAGTTGTATGAAGGTACAATTTTGCTCATATCTGTATTGTTTTCCAGGATCTTCAGGGCCCTGGATTTACCGCAAATCCTTCATTGAAACCACACCTTCTCCAGACAGCATCTGCTATCCGTTCTCATTCTAATGTACCATCTTCCCAGTCCACAGTCAGCTTCCTATCTCATGTAAGTAACCAATCTTTAATCCATGACTCAATAACATAATATGTAAGTAACTTTAAACTGGGAAATTTTCACTAAAAAATAATAAGTAGCATTTTCAGTTACTAGGTTTTAGATTTGTACATTTTCCTATAAATCCAATGGAGACCATGTGAATGAAAATACTTTCTTCAGTATTTGGTATTTTCCTGGGGAAAACAGAACTGAAATATTCAGTGTGAAATTAACAATAATGATTAAATTATTTAATAGCATTATATTGAATTCTTTAATTATTTCCATTACAAGCATTTTTAGATTACAAAGCAAACATTGATATGGCTAAAACAAGCATCACTTCGAATGCCAAGGGCAAGTTGATACATTTAATACTCTACCATGTTGAAAATTATTTACCATATATTGTTTCCTCATGAATTTATTTTAAGTAAACCATTTTATTAATCATAAAATTTTTAAGCCCTTTAGTTAAAATGTTAGTAACTTTGGAAATTTGTTAGTTTAAATTTAATTTCATGATTTTAAAGCTCAAGAAAAAAATATGTACAATGTAAAATTTAGGTTTTGTTTCCTTGGAAGATATAAATTCCTTATAATCACTATTCAGCTGTAACTCTAGGTAAATGAGACTTATTTAATCAATTTTGCTAATTAAAAATCCTGTCTAATGTATGGTAGCAAGATCACCAGTACCATTATTAGTTGTCCTTAGTACTAGTCATTTCATCAGTACCGTTTAAATCAAAATTGTTTATTAATTAAATGACTAAAAGTTGAAATGGACTCTCATCCATTTAAGATGTATGCTCTGATAAATAAACTACCACAAATAATCTTTTACTAAGTAATAGAATAATTATAATAATATTAGAGGTTGAACATTGTCTCTCTGTCTCACTGGAGTTCAGAAGATGGCAGGTGAAGGGCAGGAAACTGCAGCTTTTTAAGTGTTCTAAAATTGTTTTAACTTTAAAAAATATGATCATGTTACATTTACAAAAATTAACTTAACCCCCCAAAAGTAATGAAACAAATTATAACAATGAAACAAATTATAACAACAAAGATCATCCTACTAGAGATTGTTGGGGCCATGAATGTATCTTTAACTTCTTTCTGTGACCTTGGGCAAGTCTATTAGATATAGCTGTTAGATATATTCATCTCTAATAAAAAGTTTCTGGACAAGATGATCTCTAGGGTCATCTATCATATGTGAGGCCCTGGGTTCAGTCTCTAGCACACAACAGAGGAGAGGGGAAGGGAGGGGAGAATTGGCAAATTTTACCTAGCTGCTTAATACATCACTATATTTTACTAGGAAGAATCTTGTGTTATTCAGCTTTCCATCACTGTGACAAAAATACCTGAGAAAAACAACTTAAAGGAGGAAAGATTTATTTTTGCTCACAGTTTCAGAGGTCTCAGTCCATAGTCAGCTGGTTCCATTGCTTTGGGCCTGAGACAAGGCAGAATATAATGGTAGAAGAGCATGGAGAAGGGAAGCTGCTCACTTCATGTCAGGGACAAGATACAGTACCCAAGGGTATGTGTTCCCAAGCACCTACTCCCTTCAACTAGCTCTCACCACCTCCCATTATTCCAGTCATCTATGAATCTATCAATGGATTAATCCATTGATGAAGTCAGAGCCCTCATGATCCAATCACTTTCCAAAAGCTCCACATCTGAACACTGCTACCTCAGGGACCAAGCCCTCAACATGTGAGCCTTTGGGAAATAGTCCAGATCCAGACTATAACAGGTTTCATTCATCACTAAAAAAAAGTACCAGTCATGTGTCTGTTAAATGGTTTGGCATTTTTGTTTTGTTTTGTTTTGGTAGTGGGGATTAAACCTAGGAGTGTATCACCAGCTACATCCTTTTTTATTTTGGAATGGCCTTACTAAGTTGAAAAGGCTGGTAGCCTCGAACTTGCTGTCTCCTCCTGCCTCAGCCTCCCAAGTAGCTGGTATGTCAGGTATATATCACTGTGCCCAGATCACATTTTTAAATAACAATTCTAATAGTAAAAATTAGCTATACTTCTTGGGAGACTGAGACAGGAAGATCACAAGTCTGAGATTAGTCTATGGCAATGCAGTAAGATCCTGTTAAAAATAATAATAATAATAGAGAAACTGTCAAGAATGCTTTCTGCAATTATAGTGCTGAGGTGTAGCTCAGTGGTAGAGTACATGCTTAGCATGCACAGGCCCTAGGTTCAATCCCCAGCATCAAAAAGAACAACATACATTCTTTGTTTTGTTCACTGATGTGTCCCAAGTACCTAGAACTCACTCTCTTCAACTAGGAAATAGTAGGTATTCCATTTATTTAACGGGTGAATGAATTTACTATGGAGAATTTCTTCAAATTTCCATTGTTTCTTCTGATTAAGTCAGTTTTAAACTATACTTTTGCTCTTTGGAGGTAATTTTGTCCTGAGTGCTCTTAAGATTCTGTTTTGGTTTATAACAGTTGTCTTACAGCCTGCTTAGGTATAGTCTTTGTATCTGTCCTTAGGATTCACTGATTTTTCTGGATGTGTATATTGATATGTGCAATGATTTTAGAAATTTTTATGCCTTACTTTATTACTTTTTCTGCTCTATTCCCTCTTTTTCTTCTGAGACCCCAGTTACACCTATTTTTATGTGTCCTTATACTTTTTCCCTTTTGCCTATCCTTTCCTCTCCCTACTTCAGTCTGATTTTTTGTAATTTATTTTCCAGATCATTCATTATCTCTACACCTGAGTCCAACATACTACTAAAGCCATCAAATAAGTTCTTAATTTTACAAATTATCATTTCTCAATATGAGATATCCATATTGAAAAACCATAACATGAGATATCCATTTAATTCATTTATTACACTTCTGTACAGAAAGTTTTTTCTTATACTATTAAATAATCATGATGATCTGAACGTTTCTGTCTTCCTGAAATTCAGTTTGAAACTTAACCCACAAGGTATGGTATTAAGAAGTAGGACCTTTGGGAAGTGATTACGTCATGAGGGCTTCACCCTCACAAAGGGGACCAGTGTTCTTTAAGAAGAGGTTCTGGGCTGGAGGATGGAGCTCAGTGATAGAGCGCTTGCCTAGCATGTGTGAGGCCCTGGGTTTGATCCCCAGCACTGCAAAAATAAATAAATAAGAGAGAGAGAAAGATTCAAGGGAACTTTTTCACCCTTTCCCCCATGTGAGAACATATGGAAGGCCCCATTTATGAAGAACAGGCCCTCAATCTGCTTATCTTGGAGTTCCTAGCCTCTAGAACTGTAAGCAATAAATTTTTATTTCTTATATGCTACCCAGTCTATGGTATTTTGCGAAAGCAACCCAAATGGACTAAGATAGTAAGTATTTAAAATTTTGAAATAATTCCATTATCTAAATCTCCTCTAGGCCTATGAACCTTGTTTCTCTTGATTTCTAGTATTATTGTCTGGTTTCTTTGTTTCTCTTTTTAATAATTGAGTTATATGCACAGGAAAAAATTAAAGAGATAATTTTGGTTTCTACATAATATTTTTCCTTTAGAGAATTTACATTTGCTTTTGGCTAGTAACTAAGTGAAGAACACTCACAATCCTATATCCCCTAACTCATTAAAGGATTGAAGTGATTCAAATTAAGGTTCTTATTGCAAAGTCTGAATTTTAATCAAATACCATCCACCTCTGATATTATTCCAAGTTTCCTCCCTCTAGCTTCTTGATTCTGCTGAAAGCTCATGGTATTTTCTTTGTCTCTCAGCAGCTTCTTTTAGAACTGGCAAATGTTTCTAGGAAAAGCGACCCCAAAATTTCACTTGTCTGAATTTTGGCCATAATTCTTTGCTGCTATGGTAAGCTCTCTAGGCTGACTTTTTTTTTTTTTTTGTAGTCCTGGTATTGAATCCAAGGCTTGTACAGGCTGGACAAACATTCTTTCACTATGCTACACCTATAGCTCTAGGCAGACTTAAAAAAAATATTTTTCTTGTTAATCTGAACAGAAGGGTTGATTACTGGAAACAGAAAGGTTCGATTATTGGAAAAACAATTCCTGTATTGTTATTCCTTGTTCATTCAATTTTAGGTAATACCTATAAACTGCTGTAGAGCATAAAAATCTGGCTCTCCTTTAGCCTCACACACTTATATGCACGTGCACACATTTCTTTTCCTTATTTAACATTTAATTTCATAAATTTTGGTTAAATCATGTTGAGTGTTTACATATTTATGACTTTGTTAACAGTATTCCCTCACTGAATTGTGATCATATTTCTTTTTTTTTCTTTTGCCTTTAGATTTATTTTGTTTTGGCTTACAGTTCCAAATACCTTGAACTAATTATCTCTCAAATTCTCTGAAAGAGAACTGTAGTGGTCCTTTTAGTCTGAGCCAGAGAGTCAGTTATGTCAGCAGTTCCTTTGTTGAGTGTGTATTTTAGAGCCCTCTGTCTTCCTGCTCTCATTTGGATTGTGCCTCTCTAGGCCTGCTGCATAATTGCCTTCTTGGATTTTCCTTCCACCAAAACCTGGAGAATTCCCTAATCTTTTTTTTTTTTTTTTTTTTTTTCTGTTTTCAGGTTTACTTCCTTTCTTGGTTTATTTCTTTATTTTGGTGAAGCATATATGCCCTAACTTCCTGGTGTGAAGGATGCATTTCATTATTTTGTTTCCAAATTGTGCCTTTATTCTTCACTTACATTTGATTTGTGCTAAGAATTTTGTTGCTCTTTTGACATTTTTATTCCAGAGACTTTGTATATGACCTGTATTTTCTGTCTTAAAGATTTAGGATCTTTTCTTTACCTTCATTTCTGCTGGAGGAAGTCTTTTTCTCCATGTTATACTGGATACTTATCAAGCTCTGTGTTGCTTAGTTCTCAGACATTTTCATATTTATTTTTGGCTTCAAGAGAAGAATAATATACTCCATTTTCTTGGCTTTCTCTTTCTAGAAATCCTATTAATTATCTATTAAACCTCCTAGAGTGATTCTCT